GCTGAGTTGCAAACAGGCAGGACATGCAACTAGCACTCCTACAAACGCTTCATGAATTAGATCCTCTTCCTAGGACACCTCCAATTGCAAAACTAAGGCTGGTTCAGTCAATAAGGACGGCAATAGCACTCCTGTGCTAAACTAGCCCTCCCCATTAGGATTTCTGTGGGAGCTTGGTCTGGCATGTGACACTTGTAGGATTTTTACTGGCAACATGCTGATCCAGAGCATGGATATTCCTCCTCAGCAGTACACTGTTGGGCACCTCTGCTTCAGTCTGGCTCTGCAGGCTTCAATCCATTCCTCACCCACACCAAAAGCTCATCTGCTACACACTGCAGTACTCAGTGTTGGGCAATTAAACCAGAACTCAGTCCTCTCTCCCCCTTAAAAGCATGTCACAGTGCCTTCTCCAAACCCCAAACACTAACCAGCCTTGCAAATGGCCCACAACAGCTTGGTTGGCTTCTGGGTCTCTTGGGTTTTCTCTGATAGATGAGCCAACACAATGTTGAGGAGGCATTCACATCCGCAAATCAGGTTCCTCCTATAGTCAGAGACATGATTTCCAAATATTTGGCATTTAAAAGTTAGTAGGGACAAGTAGGGTGTCCCTCCCACACTAATCTGTCTCTTGAGGGAAGAATAAAGGGCAATCTTCAGGTGGACACTGCTGTGCTGGCCAATTTCTTGTTGCTAAGTTGCTGCTCAGTCTTTTGCAGGGGATGGGGGACCATCTTGGAAGTGATTGTAGTCATGTTTTGAGTCCCAGATTTGAATCCACCTACGAAAGAACAAACAGAACCTTTGAAGGCACACTGGGATGTTCAAAGGAACAGAACAAAATGACCCTGCCAAGAGCTGCTGCACATCTATTGCAAATCCCAACACATTCCTTCTCCCAGAACCTACCACGGGATGTTTTCTGTCACAATACAACTTTTGCTTTAACAATTAAAGAAATGACAGGAAGAGAGACTGCTGAGAGCTCCATATCTTCCAAAAAGGAGGACTTTCAAATTCAGCTCCAGATTTTGGATTCCACTGAGGGTGGAGTGAAACTTCGAAGCATTCTGAATATTTGCAGCTACATTACTCAGGCTGCAGATTTATCCCTAGGACTCAGATTCCAGAAGAAATGACCTGTATTTCTGTTTACTGGGGTACCAAACACTATCTCATAAGCTCAATTGAAAATATGCTTTAAAAACTGTCTCTCCTAAGAAGAGTAAATAATATTTTCCACGTGACATTTCATAGGTCCTGTGGCAAAGTTCAGAAATATGAACTAAATTACCCAATAATAGCTGCTGGAATAAGAAGGATTATAGCCCCGAAGAGAAACGGGAATCCCCTCATGAAGTGCAAGGTCGCAGGGTAGAGAGAGTTGAACACTCCTGTAGCCACGAGGGAACACACCCCTTGCACGCAGGCAATAGAAGCAAAGAGAGCACCTGGAAAAGAGGTAAGAGATTAGTGGTGAGATAGACAGGTGGCTAATGCCTGCAAATGGCTTTAACACATCACCTTCAGAGGGATTCTGTGAATCTTCCTAAGGGTTTGCACTTCCCATCAGAAAACAGGTGTGGGAGCATCAAGTGTGGCAAGCTGGGACACAGACTTGGCCTGGCACGTTAAACCTGTCCCACTTGCTTCTCTGTAGCCAGGACCATCTCACAGACCTGAAGAATTGGTATCACCTGGGCTGACCAGGGATATTATCTATCAACTGGATTGCGAATGCTTCAGACTAGGGCTACATAGATCTGTCTACTGAGAAGCAAATCTTATCACTTGTTAAACATTAACTACAGCAGAAGACAGCAATTTATAGATTTAGCATCGTAATCTGGTGTCTTCATTCTAAAATAAGAAACATGAATTGTACAAAATCCCCTATTGATTGCTCCTATCTCAACTCCCTCCTCCCTCTGCCCCAAGACATTCCTATGTCATGTTTCACAGCAAGTGCACGATCTCCAAGTACATTACTGGATGAAAGGCAAACATGCTCCTCCTACAGGTTATCCATGATCTTTTACCACGGTCAATGATATAACCCTCCAACAACATCTGGTTCTTCCCACTGTTACTGATCTACAGAGAAAAGTTATGGTCAGGAGAATCACTCTTTTCTCCCTGTTATATAACCCATTTTAACTCTGGCTCCTTGTAAACCTTTCAGAGATGAACAGATAGATGAATGAACCATTCCTGCAAATTCTTTTCATCTTGCTTTTCCTTGTCCTCATCTTGAAAACGCAGCAAGTGTAAATCAATGAATGACAATTATTCTGAAAAAAGTAAAATGCTACCCTGGGTCTGAAAGTGAGTGCAAAGACACAGGAGTCCAGAGGAATCACGGAAGTCCTAACTTCCTCAAACATTTTTGTTTCAGTGTTCCAAGAAAACAGTGTTTCAGGACGTGGCTTAAGCACACCAGCTAACTCCTTACCCTGTTCTGTCTCACTGACCAGCTTGGAGAGCTTGGATCTGATGACTGGAGTGGCTGCCATGGAAAGGAACAGAATCCCATAACCTGTGAGCAAGATACAGCACATTAGGGAAAGCCCGGCTGAAAAATAAAGTCTCCAAAGTCAGTCCCAGAAATCTGTAGATGCAGGCAGTTTCTCCCTGCTGTATTTAGACCCAATTCATCCTCCTAGATCCTATAATGAACTTTAACCTGTGTCTGCAGTGTAATACAGTTCTGAGAAACCTAATATTCTAGGAAATATGGATTTAAGAATTCAGCATCACCTGTAAACATCAGTGCTGTTGTGGTAGCGAGAGAAATCACAACCAGTCCAGCAATGTTGGAGATCAAGCCTATCTCTGCCACCCAGGTGTCTTCAAGGCAGAGCTGCAGCAGCCGCAGCCCTACCAGGCTGCTCAGGTAAGCCAGGTAGTTGGCGGCGGAGCCGTAACCGATGAGGTCAGAAGCCCAGCAGAGAGGGAAGCCGAGCTCATACAAAACAAAGAGGTCCTTGGCTCCAAAATGCACTGTGACAAGAAGGAAAAAAGCCAGGGAGTAAAGAGCGAGCTTCCACCTGGAGCTCGGGTGCTCAGGGGCCAGGTACAGCCTGAACACGGCCTTGTAATGGCTGAGCGTGAACAGCCTGGCCGGTCTCCTCTGCTTCACTGACTCCTGAAGGCAGAAAGCAGCATAGAGAGTGGCAGCAAGGGTGGCAGCAAAGGCGAGCCAGAAGGGGTTGATGTAGCCCTGGGCCTTGCGCCACTGTCCACCACCGATGCTGGCCAGCATGCCCGCGGTGCCCAGGCACGCCTCGAGGATGGCCACCCGGAACGTCCGCGTGCGCCTGTCGCTGGTGTCAGCCACGTAGGCAAAGCAGCTAGCCAGGATCAGGTTGTAGTCCCCCGTCAGGCCACTCAGAAGGCGTCCCAGGAGAAAGTAGGCGACGTGCAGCTCCAGGTACATGACGAGCAGGTAGATGGCCGTTTGCAGGGCCATGCCCGCTGCCGGCAGGATGAGCGCCGGACGGCGGCCCACGCTGTCGCTCCATGGTCCAAAGAGAGTCACGGAGAAGAGACTGGCAAAGAAGCCCCCCAAGTTGATGTAGAGGTTCCAGTGGGAGACCAGGGCTTCCACCTCCTGCAAGAGAGACAGGTGGCTGAGGATTCTCAACAGCATCCAGTGCCACCCCGGGCTCTCCACTCCCCCACTCTCCCCAGGCTGCCTTTCCCCTCCGGGCTCCCTGCTCCCCTGGGGTTTCCACTCTCTCCACGGACACCCCATTCCTCCCGAGCTCCCCCTCTCCCCCTGCTCCTCCCTGCTCCCAGGGCCTCCCTGTACCCCCAGGGCTCCCCTTGGACCCCCTGCTCCGTTCAGACTCCTGGTTTACCCGCTCGCTCAGAGTCCCCTTTCCCACAGGACTCCCCCGGGGGTCCCCTCTCCCCCCAGTTCCCCATCTACCCCTGGAGCTCCCCCTTTCCCCCGCTCCCCTTCCCTGTTCCTCCCTGGTCCCCCAGGGCTCCCTGAGGACTCCCTTGTCCCCCCTCTCCCCCGGAGCCCCCCTCACCTGTCGCAGCGGGTCGGGGGCATCGCTGCTGTTCCCGCAGCCGGCGGAGCCGCTGCTGTTGTGGCCGTGGTAGCCGCGCTCGGCGCCCAGCCGGTCCCACAGGTACTGGGTGGCGAGCGGGCCCTGCAGCCCCACGGACACGGTGGCCAGGAACAGCAGCGGCTCGGCCGCGGGCAGCAGCGGCGGGCAGAGGCGGCGGCGAGCGGGGGGTGCCGGGGGGGCTGCGGGCGGCGGCGGCGGCTCGGCCATGGCAGCCATGGCGGGGCGGGAGCGGCGCGGCCCGGCCGGGTCGGGACAAGCTCCGCTCCGCCCGGGCCGGGCCCCTCCGCTCCGCCCCGCCGCCCACGGGAACCGGGGGGGTTCTGCGAGTCCCCGGGATCCCTCGGCGCTGCCGCTGCAGCGAGTCCCGTGATACAGATGCAGCGCTCAGCACACACACACACGCACCCCCAACCCCCGCCCGCCGTGTGTTGTTTCATAGAATTGTTGAGGTGGGAAAAGCCTTCTAAGCTCATCGAGACCGACGTTAACTCGGCATGGCCAAGGCCACCACTAAAGCATGTCCCCAAGTGCCGTATCCACACTCTTAAATCCCTGTAGGGATGGTAGCTCCGCTGCTGCCCTGGGCAGCCTCTGCCAGGGCTGGACAACCCTCTCCGTGAAGGAATTTTCCCTAGGATCCAATCTAAATCCCCATGGCATGGCTTCATGCCGCTCCTTCAGGTCCCGTAGGTGGTCACCAGACAGGAGGGAACAGCCCTGCCCCTCCTCTGCCCCTCGTGAGGAAGCTGCAGACCGACCACGGTGAGGGCTCCCCTTGGGCTCCTCCAGGCTGAAAAAACGAGTGACCTCAGCCACTCCTTGTGCGGCTTCCCCTCTGACCTTGATAAAGTCCCCCCTGAGCCTCCTCTTTTCCAGGCTAAGTCCCCCCCAGCTCCCTCAGCCACTCCTCATCAGACTCTTCCCCAGCTCTGTTCCCTTCTCTGGACGCACTCCAGCCCCCCAGTGCCTCTCTTGTTGTGAGGGGCCCAAAACTGAGCACAGGATTCAAGTCTGGCCTCAGCAGTGGCCAGCACTGCCCTAGTCCTGCTGGCCACACTATTGCTGGTACAAGCAAGGTTGCCCTTGGCCACCTGGGCACACACCGGCTCAAGTTCAGCTGTCAGCCAGCAACCCCAGGTCCTTTTCTACTGGGCCACTTCCCAGCCACTCTGCCCCAAGCCTGATGGTTGAGGAAATTTAAACATAAACACAGTTTTTTCTTCTCTCCAAATAAAGCAAAAGTCAACATTTTACATACAGTGAGAATCTGTGAAATGTTGTAGTTAGCAATGCGTGATCACTTCTATTAATTCACAGCATATTAGAAAACACTTCATTTCATAAGGGACAAAATAACTTGGAAGCTCAGTTAATAGAAGAGGCTTTGGCTGTGCTGTTTGGTTTCCTGTGAGGTTTGGTCTGCCTCAAAGAGCAGATCAGTAAGCAAAGACCAAGTTGCTGTTTAAATTCAAAGCACACGATTCAGAGTGTTAGATTAACCCATTTATATAAACTGTTCCAAACTAATGTAAATTGGCATGGCTCCTTTGACAACACCAAGGGACTGTTAATGGGCCACAGGCAAAGCTCAAAGAGACAAACCATAACACACTTAGACAGCTCATTTTTATCATCTTTGCAGGTATCATGACTCACACATCGCTGAGGATGTGTTGTTTCCGAAGAACAGGCACAATTCATCACCTGAGAATCTTCCACGTTGTTATTTACACCCCACAGATGAGGCTGCAGCTGGAGGCCAATCTTCATGTTACAGAGATGCAAAAACGATGTGTTCTTTTAGATTTTCAATGCAACCTTAGGGTATAAGAGTAAAAAGTAGAAAAAAATACCTTGCTCTTGGCTGATTTTGCCACTGCACCTTTAAAGACACTAATTAAGCATTAAATGAATGCAAAAATGTGAGGGAATATAATTCATTTGAAAGCTCTTTCTCATTCTTTTTGTACCGAGGGAGAAATGCTAAAGCTCTCTTTGTTGTGAGCAGTATGCCCAAGTCGAGCTTGCTGCTCTGGCAACTGAAACCCTGCTGGTTTTCCATCATAAGCACATTGTTGAAAGAAAACAAGCCCTGGCAGAAAAGGGATGAGAGAGAGAAACAGCAGAAGCTTTTTGTGGAGCTGACATCAGATGACCTAGTGTCAGTGCTTTCCTTTTTGTCTCTCTGCTTGAGTAAGCTATAAACAGTGCCAAGACAATTTATACCAATAAAATGGAAGTGTTATAATCTTTAGCTGAGGGATGCGATTGTACAATCTACCAAATAAAGCCATCAAAGTGACATTAGCAAGGCATTCCCTTTGGAATTAAAACCTTTGGTTCCATCCCTGCTTATTTACAGATTCAAGTAATTCACAGCTTATATTTTGGAGGTTTTCTGCAACTGGGATGAGAATTGCTGGTAATTTCCCTGTAGCACCTTCCTTTTCTTTACTTTTTTTACCCCCAATACATCCTCCAAGTTCCCAAAACTGTGCCTATAAACCTGTAAGAGCTGAAAGGTGAAAAAAAAACCCCAGTGTCTGCAAAGTGATACCCTATAGCAAAGTCTCTCCTGGTCCACTAAGATCTAAGGTAAGGACTGTCAGTCCCTGTGTGCCAGGAGCTTGATGTGGCACCTGGTGACAGGAGCTCTGCCCAGTGGATTTTGCTGCCCAGACTGAATTTCTTAATGAACATAGTGAATGTTTATATAACATTTTACATAGTTGTTTCTAATCCCTGTATTTGATTATTGGAGATGCAGATGTGGTTTTCAGTGCCCTACATATTTTTAAAGCAATTTTCAACCCCTTTTGGAGGGAGCAGTTTCCCTTTTTTATAGGAGGAATGACAGTACCTATTCAAAGATGATGTTATTAAAGTCAAAACCATTAATATTTTTAAAAAATAGGTAATTTCAGTTGGCTTTTAAAAAATTTACTCGGTCCACAAGGAGTTAATTTTGTCCTGGACTGACCACCTTTCAGGAAGATTTAAGAAAGTTCCTGGTCTGACACTCTTTTGCTGTCCCCTCCCTTCTTTGTTCTCTTCCTTCTTTCTCCGATTACAGTTCCAAAATCAACACCCAATCTCCTGAGGTCAATGGTTAATATTCCCCAGTGTTTATATAGTCTCCAGCAGCAGATCCCAGGCCTTTCAGCACCGGGCTAGCTCCAGCACCATGGCTGGCATCTTGGAGGTGATCCTGGCCATCAGGAAATACCTCATCATAATTTTTGTACCCCTTCTTGCTCTTGCTCTTCCTCTGGCAGTGCCTACCAAGGTAAGAACTTTTTAAGTTCAATTTAAAAGCCAAATCTCCGCATCTCAGAGCTGCTCCTTGTAAGTGATAGAGGGAACAGACCGCACAGATCCTTTCTCAGAGAACATTTATTGCTTGAAGATCTCTTTTGTTTTTCCTGATCAAACATCTGCAGATATTGGGGCATTATAAAAGCAATGATAGATGAACAGATACATCTGTGATTGCATGTTCTAGAAGAACACTCAGTGACATGAGATTTGTGACTTCTGCTTTGCATCTGATTGATTTAGCAAAGGACTTTCTATGCTAAAGATTGTATGTGTGAACCTCAGTTCCAATCTAAGGTTCAATTTTAATCCCCCTTCTGAGTTTCTAACAGTATCCAGTCCACATCTTTTCTTTCCTTGTGTTGTCACTGCCAGGTAGAAGAGGCATTTTCCTTGGTCAGATGGACAAGACATTCTGACACATAAGGAAAAATGCTATGTATTTCACTCTGGTTTTAGCATATTTCTGTAAGAATCTTGCCACACTTGGATTTTAAATTTAAAATGCCAAGTTTTGGAAGACTTACTTACGTACCTTCGGAAGTTAACTACCAGCAACTGTAGCAGTGGGGCAGGTATTGCTGGGACATTGATCATTTTGATCACTGATCTGGGACATTGATCACTGATCATTTACACAGAGCTCTGTGAGCCAGCAGCCTGCCACCCTTCTGCTGCTTCTTCACTCTGGCATGTTTCTCACACTCCCAATCTCTTTGCACAGAAATATCTCATCTCTGGCCTTCAGGTCTCTTATTACAGCTCCAGTATCTTGAAATAACTCATCCCAATCTGCCTCTCCTGTCACTCCTCTTTGGACATCAAGTCGTAGCTCTTCCTTCTGGCCTGTGCCTGTCTCCTGATCCCTGCTGACTCCCAGTTTATAGTCTCCTTCTCCAAGCTTCCTTCTCCACTTCACCAGCTGTTCCTTGCCTGTCCCAAATCTCTTTCTTCCTCACAGCTCTGAGTGTTATCAGAGACTTTGGAGTTCTGACTAGAGGACTGCAAGCGTGAATGATAGAGCGGCACTGGCTGGAGGTGCAATGTGGTAACTGTTCAGGCGTGGCACCTAAGCAAATAAAATAGTTTAAATTATTACTTGAAAGCTTACTAGGAAGAAAAACAGAAAAAGTACCTTATTTTTTAAAGTCAACTTTTCATAGGCGAAAGAGTTACTGAAGGGAAAAGAGATCTGAATCACAAGAGTTCTAAGAAGCCAGAGAGAGATTATTTTTTTTTTTTTTGTCTTGAGCCCACAAGTTCAAGATCACTTGCTGGAGGCATTGTTACATACAGTAAGTCCATGGTGTTACCTGTGGAATGATTTGGCAGTCTTGGCTCAGTTCCTCTGTGAAAATGACTCTCTCTGGTTTCTATGTAGTCAGCAAGAACACAGAAATTTAAAACGGCCTGGACTTTTCCCTTTGCAACCTGTAAGAAGATTTTTTGGGTTACAATTGTGCACCCTGGCGATGCTGAGCAGGAAAAGCTGGTGCCTCCACATGCAGCAGTGATGTGAGCAGGCAGCTCACAGGATGGAATTTCACATTTTTCCATTCTGCTGTGCTATTAACCCACCCTATAATGACAGAGCACTGGACACCAAACTATTATAATTGAGAGAAAACAATGCTAAAAATTTTGCTTAAAGACAGAAAAACATCCTTACAGGAAAACTGACTTTGTGAAAAGGTTTTTTCCTACTTTTACTGATTTTCCACAGCAGGATGGAAGCCAGTAACACTGTGCCTATGAGATATATCCCAGAACTCTGCTAGGGTCTCTCAAAAGGCACCCATTGGTGTCTTTTAAGAACAAAAATGGATAAAAAGGTTCATCGAAATGAGAAATTTCTTTCAGTGCTTTATGGGATGGGTAATTAAGGTTCTTACTGCTCTCACTCAAAAATAAGGCTCAAAAAGGCATATTTTCATCTCTTCATGAATCTTTTCATATTTACTTCTCAAACTTGGCTGCTTTGGTAATTCATCACCTAGACTGCTGTCTTCCTATTTCCTGTAGAATCCTGAGCTATCCCCTTCATCCCCTTCACCAGCTCCATAACCTCCTGCCAGAAGTCCTGAGCATGTTCTAAAGCAACACAAATTCTACCAGCCATTATTCCAGCTCCTTGTTTTAATCCTCTGTAATCCAGCTTCAATAAGCATTACTACGATTTCATTCATACTGTCGATTGTATTTTAGTGGTCATTCTTTATCCAAGGCCAAACAACCACGTTTTGCTTCCTTTGGATTTGCTGTCACCCATTATTGTGTGAGTTCCAAAATGAGGAAGACACCACAGTCTGCAATATTACTTCTTCTTGCTTTCATCCCCAGCCCAACCATACAAAAATCTGTTGCAGGAAGTAATTCTGAATCTGACTGTCTTAAACATTTTTATAAAAAAATTTGGAGGGGTTGTCCAAAGCAGAACTAAATCAATGTTTTCTCAGAAGATGAGTAATATGAAATAGGGGATCATACTTGTCAAACAAGCAAGTCAGTGAAAGCTGAAAGGACCTGTGACCAGTCTGTCAGTGAGCCTTTCAAAGCCTCTACTAAGCTAAAAATCCAATGAAAAATTGTAGTATTTACAGTACAAGGAATCCAGGCTCTTGAGATTAGCTGGGGTTCACCTTTGCCATATCCTGGAACACGTTGAGCAAAAGGTGAAGAAGCCTTTACTGGATCATAACTATTTCTGCAACTCAAGGACATAAATACAGAATATAACACTATCAGCATAATCAGGAATCCCTTATCATGAAAGGTTCAAAGTCATCCATTTGTTTCTTTTCCTAAGTTACTATTTTTTCACCCCCTGGAGGCTTCATCTACTCCTTGGAGTTCTGACAAGGTTGTTGAACAGTTCGTTATTTGATTAAAATCTGCAGAGTTCAGAGGATACATGGGAGACAGGAAATGACCTATTCTCTAATCCCTTTATCAGGCAATGAATGTAATTATGGGCTGTTGCCTTCTGAAAGCCCAAGTGCCATGTACAGTGTGTTCTGATCATGTCTCCTCTTCCCCTCTTGCCCCCCAGGAGGCCGAATGCGGTTATGTTATCATAGTGATGGCACTTTTCTGGTGCACAGAAGCCCTGCCATTGGCTGTCACAGCTCTCCTACCTGTCCTGCTGTTCCCACTAATGAATATCATGGATTCAACAACAGTAAGAGATACTACTTCACTGACATTGGCCTATGTGTTAATCAGTCATTAATAAGCTTCTCTTATTAAGGGATTATTTCCTATTATTACTATTACTATTATTATTGTTATTGTTATTATTATTATTATTATTCCACTGCTGTTACACAGAGAATTGGCTATCTTCTTCACAGAACAGAACTTGCACAAGCCCAGAGTGAGCTAATTTCAAATCAAAGCAAATGTTCGGATGCAAGCCAGAGTTAATCTGTGCTGATGGCTTTGGAACAACCTCCCTCAGAAAAATACCTTTTCTCTTGGCTTCTTGTGACTGTTTTCTCTCCCTTGTTCCACGTTACAGGTCTGTCGGGAATATTTAAAGGACACCAATATGCTTTTTATAGGGGGACTGGTGATGGCTGTTGCCATTGAGCACTGGAACCTACACAAGCGTGTGGCTCTCCGGGTCTTGCTTCTCACTGGTGTCAGACCAGCCCTGTGAGTAACAGCCATGAAAACACCATGGGATAAAGGACTTTATGGCATTAGGTGGAGAAATAGCAACAAGAGAGTCAATGCTGCTAAGACACAGCTTCAGACAGTCAGGAAAGAGCACAGAGGAAAGACAGAAAACATGAACTCCCTGCCTGCTCCACTGATTGCCAAGAGAAGAGAAAACATGAGGATGCTTGTTTGGAAAACAACAAGTGTTTTCCAGACTAACTCTAAGCTATGCAGAGGCTGCATCCCCCTATTTAATCTCTCTTAGCTCCTAACAAGAGGGAATGCTGAAGGAAATTACAAAGCAATAGAATAAAAATACATACAAGATAAATCCCTTTCCATCTCATATATAATCTACATCTCATCGAAAGAATAATTTTGAGGCAAATCACAGAGTAATACTGAAACGAGGATTAGAATTTTAGATGCGTAAGAAGAGAATCTTAAATAATAGAGGTGGGATAAAATTACAGAAAAATAGGGATCCTCATCCTTATGGCTTAAACT